TACTACTACTACTACTAATAATAATAAAATGAAAGAATGATTTAGTAAAAAATGAGAATGATTAGTAATTGTCTCCAATTGGCCTGATTAGCTAAGCCCTCCATAAAAACACTTCTTATTAGTACAGTATTGCAGATTTACCTTCTGATCAATGACAGAAATTAACCTTCCCATTATGAGGCGATATTTGACTCCTTAAAGTGATTTACAGGGGCTTTTTTTTACCTTTGTAATTCCATTTTTTTCTAAATGTATTAAATGTATATCATCTTTTTCACAATTTTTAATTAAACAATAAATTCAATTAAAATAATAAGACATAACCAGGAAGAATAAGTTAAAGTTACCAGTCAAATTAAATCAGTATCAATAATTCATCTTTTTCCGTAATGCACACAAATGTGGCATTAAGGAATATTTGCAGACTGTTTGACGAGGCTCAGAGGTGGCATGAATGTATTTAAATAAAAAAAATCATATATTTTTTTATTATAAACTGCGGTACGTTTATGTACAGATTGCTTTCGTAGGTCTTTGCTTTCAGTTTCAGTGTGTGTTTGACTGTAGTTTCTTCTCTAATGAAACTGTGTAAAGCTTATGAAGTGACTCTCAGAGCAGCTCTAGAGATTGAAGTTCATGTGTTCATGTCCTCATATATTGAGATGCAGACTTTGAAAACATTGAGCGTCTCATGAGTTTGAGTTTGTGTATCAGACGAATCCACGCCATTCATTCACACAGAGACACACAGAACATGCAGATTTATTAGAGACATGCACTGACTGGCTGTTGTCACTTTTATTTCTGCTGTGTGATAGACTGAGCTTCTCATTATCAACATAAAAAAATAGTGTTTTATTGCCCAGCCCTAATCTTTCTGGACCTTGGAAATCTGATAAATCCTGTAATTTTGCATGATACGTACATGGATACAAGACAGTGAGTTTGTAAAGAAGATCTGTTTGTTTGAAACCAGGCGGAGTTCACAGCCATGCGTGATCAGTACATGCGAGCGGGTGAAGGTTTCATCATCTCGTACTCCATCACGGACCGCCGCAGTTTCCAGGAGGCTCGCCACTTCAAGCAGCTGATCTACCGCGTGCGGCGCACCGTCGACACCCCCGTCGTGCTGGTGGGAAACAAGTCTGACCTGGTCCATCTCAGACAGGTGAGACGCTTTAACTGAAACCCCTGTAGCTCAGAAATATTCACCCCCTTCTGACTCTATTGCATAATATTGCGTAACCTTATTGAACTATGATGCATCCCATTCAAAATACTATAGTCTATAATGTGACATTTTAGCAGTTACAGTATATACCACTGTGATGACTTATTTTTATAGGCCAACCTTTAAGTTAGCATCACCCTGATTCCCTCGACAAAAACCTAATGGGATTTTGGATTATTGCAGAAAATAAGCTCTGTGACCCACAAAAGTTTGAAGCCTGTTTGAATTTTGAAGCCTAAATGCAGTAAAAAGCTAAATCTAGGCTGTAAATGAACTACAGCATGGTCACATGACTTAAAGACGGGGACATCATTCAAAATCATGTATACATCCAATGATAACCTTTGCAAGTTTATCTTTTTTTAAAAAGATAAACTCACGAGTTTATCTGTTCAGTGTTCACAACAACCACTGTAGTCTCCACTTGTTATCAACCACCTTTTTCAAGACAAGTAAAAGCTTTACTTTACTGATGTATTTTATGTCGTGGAATAAAACATAAAAATGTCTTGAGCTTGTGTGAACTACAGACCTTATTTCAGGCATTTAACCAAAAACCCATTCATAAAACCCAATGACTTCTAGACAGTGGAGCCAGAAGTGCTAAAATGCAATTTGTTGCTAGGTTTTGACCTACAAAGGTACACCATCCCTGCAGCACTTTATAGCATTGGTGCATATCTGTTGGTGGTTCATGGTCTGGATTTTGACAAGGACTTCAACCTGTTTGGTTTTAAGTCATTTTTCAAAGTCATTGCCCTGAAGGTCTTTTTTTCTGTTCTAAGCTCCAACCATTTTCCTTCTCTCTTTATGATGTCTCCATTCCCTGCCACAGGGACGAATCCCTAATGCACAGTGCTGCCACCTCCATGCTTCACTGTAGGGCTGATGTCTCATTGTGATGTCTCACAGTCTAGCATTGTGCCGTCTGAGAAGAACAGACTCTTCCTGGTCTTCACATGCCTTTGGGCAAACGCTAGTCAAGATAGCACGAGCTCCTCAATCTTAAGTACCAGCCAGAAAGTTTCTCTCATCTGTAACTTCTACAGAGTCACCGTAGGTGATCTTGCAAATGTTATCATTGGCTGTATACATGATTTTGAAGGTCTGTTCACATTCAAAGTTGTGCTACATTTCTTTAGCGATAGGCTGCACTGTGTGTGCATTTGGAGATATGAAGTGTCTTGAAAAATATGTGTAAATTTTTAATGTACCTTGTTCTAGATAGTGGTTGTGTGAAATTAACATTAACGTAGATGAATAAATGCTGTGATAGTATTTTTGTTGTTAGTTCATTCATAATTCCTAATGTAATAATTAATGTTAAAGGGGTCATATGATGTTGCTAAAAAGAACATTAT